TTGCACCCTCAGATTCCAGATTTTCAAATAGTTGTATCTCGGTCCAGGGTCACATATTTGCATGTATTTGCATTATGATGGAGTTGGGGGTCTAGCTGTACAGTAAAGGGCTTCCATGAATTTAATTACACTGTGTATTTCCTGTGTAGGTATTTCATCCAGGCATAGCATTAATAGTGCAATCTGGATGAAAAGTTTGAAAAGTTTTTTTTTTTTTTTTGTGGCTTCAGGATGTTATATAGTATGTTACCAACATAAACATAAGCAAAAGTTAATCAGCTTGTAACAGTAGTCTCACTCCAGGATTATTTAGACCAGTGGTTCTCAACTTTTTTTTGATTGCAGGGCCCTCCATTGTCTGCAACAATATTCAAAGGAAAAACAAAAACCACAATTTATATTTGATAAATAAACATTAGAGCTTTTGTAGAAAAATGTATATTCATTATAAATTGTAGTTAAGATTTTTTTTTAATTTATATGACTTTTCCAGGTCTGGAAAAATGTAAACATTTTGGCTGCGTCTGAAATCGCATACTCTCAGAGTAGGTACTTGTTTTGAATAAAGATGTCAGGTGTCATTACACGGCCATTCACAAATCCTCTCCCGTGGCCTCACGGGGTAAGTGTCTATCGCACACTTCACAGTTTCACTGTAAGCAAGCGTAAATTGCTCTTGCCCCATGCATTCCCATTGTAAAGGGAAAAACTATACAGAAATGTTTGTATTTATAATCTAAGGGACAAGTTGATGATTTGTAATGACAACATGCGCGAATGGAAAAGGTGGTTTGCTAAGGTGTTTTTCCTTTCTTTACTTTTTTTGTCTTTATATCTGTCTAGTGGCTAAATGTGAGTTCTTCAATTCCGGTGGCAGCGTGAAGGACAGAATCAGTCTGCGTATGGTAGAGGATGCTGAGAGAGACGGCATCCTTAAACCTGGAGACACCATCATTGAGCCCACGTCAGGAAACACAGGTGTGTGTCTGCACCATAATGTTTATTCTCATTTTAGTATTCATCTTGAAAGCAAGCACTGCTTGTTTTTAACTGTGCCGTGATGAGAAAGAGCCTCTGCTCCATTTAGTTTAGTTCAGGCACTGGAATGCTGGAGGACCAGTTGTCATGTGTCAACTAGTCTGGCACCAAAGTCAAAGAATGACTGTACAAATACAGTCAGCTAAGTGTTATTCAACATCTCTAACACTTACTAATCAACAAAGTGTAGATTATTGATCTCAGAAAGTGGTAGAGACTGTGAGACTGTCATGTGTGTTTTCAGGTATCGGACTTGCTCTGGCAGCAGCAGTCAAAGGTTATCGTTGCATCATTGTCATGCCTGAGAAGATGAGCATGGAAAAGGTGAGATGATGAAGATAAATATGGTGTGGGTGTAAATCCACCTGATTACTCAGCAATTCTTGTGTCAATATTTGTGGTGCGTGTGAATGTGTGTTTTCATAATCATGTGGTTTGTGTCCTCACATGCTTCCAGGTGGACGTGCTCCGTGCTCTAGGAGCCGAGATCGTTCGTACCCCTACCTCAGCCCAGTTTGACTCTCCTGAGTCTCATGTGGGGGTAGCTTGGCGTTTGAAGAACGAGATTCCTAACGGTCACATTCTGGACCAGTACCGCAATCCCAGCAACCCCCTGGCCCACTATGACACCACTGCAGAGGAGATTCTGGAGCAGTGTGACGGTAAATTAAAAACTTGTGGACACAAGACATTGTGACTTTCAACTCTCTCTTCAGTTACTTGGATCCAAGCTCATCAGTCGCTTCCAATTAACCAGTGGTTCTCGACCAGGGGGCCTTATAGGCCCATTTGAACTTCCAGGGGGGGCCCAATAAATTTTAAAATGATTTAAATTTAGTTATTAAAAATATTAAATGCAATGCTAAAAAACAATAAAAATGTCCAACATTAAACTGATA